AACCTACACGGGCTTAGTAGGACCAAAGCTCTACTCTGGCACTTGGAGACCTGGGCATGAGCGGCGAGCGCTCGTTAAACAACTCGTCTAGCCCAATGACCGGTACTGTCCGRCAGGTSTACTGAGTTCAGTGTSGAGGGTCTGAACTCCGAGCTGTAGGCTGAAACGAAGGYCGTCTTTAAGTGTTGAGGCCTGGTTGAGCCACTCCCCYACCGGACCCAGAAGKCTGATGATCCGTGTCTGACGACTCGACTGTCCCGAGGGATACGAACCCCTCCAAGGACCGGTACTGACCGGCGGGCTGCTCGGTGTGGCACAGGAGGCTGGATGGGCTGAGTTGTGGGCTGAAATCGTCAGAGGAACCAAGCTGATCGCGTCGTCCTGTCTGCGATGTTAAAGAATTCTTGCGGAGTTTGGGGGATCTCCTTAAATGCCTCCTAATCAGCTCTTGGTTCTGTAGTGATAACCTTAGAGTAGTCTTGGGTTAGTAGTGGCCATAGTTGACAGGGTCTTATCCTGTGGTCCTTAGGAAGTCAGTCAATAGGTTAGTGTGTCCGGGTAGGGCGACGTGGTGAGGAGTGGGACCCTTGTCGTGCACCAACACCACGATGGACGATTACCCGATGTATGGGTTGCTGGTTGGGTTCTCCCTCTGGGGGACCCTCTGGCGTCTCCTCTTTCCTCTGGGATTTTGGCATACCTTTGCGTGTAGAGTAGGGCCCACTCGAAGTGGTACCGCCACCCAACCATACACGAAGGAGGAGGAGGAGAAGATGGCCGCCATCCTGCAGGAGAGGAAGGAGAAGAAGGAGGCCAAGAAGAAGGCTTTGAAAGAGGAACAGGCGGCCAAACTAAAGAAGATGGAAGAAGAGATGGCCAGGGAGAAAGAGAGGTTGAAAAAGGAAGAAGAAGAGAAGCTGGAGGAGGTGGATGAAGAAGAGGAAGGACCGCCACTGCAAAAGAGTGGGCAGCACAGCGGCAGCAGCAGTGATGAGATGGAGAAGAAGATTTCGGAGTGGGTCGCCAACTTATCCCTGGTTGAGGAGGAAGAGTTTGCTATTTACATCCCTAAGGATGAGCAAGAAGCCGCCATGAAGAAATGGGAAGCAGAAAAAGATGTTCTGACGCGGCGGGCGATGGAGGATGAACAGAGGATGGCGTGGAAGCTCGCAGTGATGAGGGAGAAGAAGAGAAGAGTGGAGGCGGCGAATGCAGCAATGCAAGAACTAGCGGAGGTGAGGAATGCCTTAATAACATAATTGAATCCGCAAGTAGATCTCCAACGCAAAGTGGAGATCATCGCCCAGAGCGTTGACCGGTTAGCTAAAGTGCAAGAAAAGCATTATGAGTTTAGTCGCAGCCAGGAGATATCCGTGCGTTCGATGCGAACGGGATTACGAGATTTTGCTCGCGAACTAGTAGGCGCTGTGGGATCCGAGGTAAGTCATCGCCTCGAGAAGACTGAGCGTTTTTGTGTCGGCGCCATCGAAGGCGTCAAGGTGGCCGCTCCCAAGGAGGAGGAGGCCCGTCCTCGCAGGGAGCCAGTCAAAGTCAACTTCCCTGATTCCTACAGTGGGAAAAGGGAAGAGAACTTTTACAATTGGGAGGCCAATGTTAAGACCTATGTGCATTTGCAACAGGTCTCCCCGGATCAGCAGGTCTTAATTGCGATCCATGCACTTAGAGACGAGGCCGCCAGTTTCGCGAGATCCCTTGTTCGTGCTGCCAACTGTAGTGACGATCCAGTTGCGTACTCCTCGTTTACGTCCCTCATTGAATTCTTGAAGCTGCTGCGCGAGCAATTCGCTGATGTTGCCCGTAGTGTCAAAGCCTCAGATAGGCTTCAGACAATACACTCGCGCCAATGGAAAAGTGCAAGGGCACTCAAGGGCACAATGGATGAGTTGGTGGCTGTTCCTGACCACAAGGTCACGGAAACCCAGTTGGTCAACCTTTTCTACCGGGCTATGCCCGAAACGCTACGTGGTCACTTCTTTGATAAGAGTCAGGTCACGTTCGAGGCGAAGTCTGCGTCGATTTCAACCTTCTGGCACAAAGATTTATACAAGGGCAAAAAGTGGAAGGGCCGCACTATCTTAGGGCAAGTCAAGACCAAGGATAACCTTGTGCTCACTTTAGATGAGGGTAGTGTGGACGAGATCCCCTACGACCAGATTGAGTGGGGGTTCGAGGAGGAGGACAGTAGTGTGGGCCAGGGGAGGACTTACGCTGCTGTCGCGGCTGGAGGGAGGCCGCAAGGAGGACGAGGCCAAGGCCAAGGGGGCCGGGCCTCAGGGAACCGGTTCCAGGGCGATCAGGGGGTTGGTGGCAGAGGAGGGAACCGCCAAGCGGGAGGTAGGGGTCAAGGTCCCCCGCAAAACCGTCCTAGGAACAGGTCTCCCTATAAAGTAGGAGGATGGCACCCAGGGCTACCTCAAGGTGGGCCGTGGGAATCTTTGGGTCTGGACCAGGCTTTATGGCAACAACGATTGAACCGAGGCTAGTGCATTTTCTGCGGTGACCCGGGGCATATCATCAAATATTGTCCTAAGTATCGAGAGACCCGAACGACTGACTGCTCAAGAGCCAAAAGGCAGCCGCCGGTAGGGGTAGCAACTGCCCCTACCACTAGGCCATGTGGAAAAAATAGCGCTAGCCGGCAGGAAACTCCCACACCACATGTGCCTACGGCAGAGGTTGCAGGCCGGTGTCTAGACAGCTGTCCCAAGACTGCTTGTGTTAGAGTTTCGCTAGACACCTCCCTCACAGGCGTGGCGGAAGAGTTGAAGGAGAGGAGGCCCGCCTGGGCCAAGATGAAGAAGGAGAATAAAGGGCAGCTGATTTTATAAGATGCAGAGATTTTTAGAAGTAGAGTAGGGGCCCTAGTAGACTCAGGGGCCACCCACAACTATATTAGTAAGCAAGCGCTGCAGAAGTTGAGGCTGGGACTTAAGGTCCAGAAACTGACAGACCCCATAGTTAGTATCCTCGCGGACAATCATACCATGGTTATAGAGGATTACGTAGAGGGAGTTCAGGCGTATTTCCGCCTGAAGAAAGATGGGAAGGTGGAGAAGGTCCTCCACTCCCTAACTCTCCTCGTAGAGGACAGCCTCCCATTTGATATAGTACTGGGAATGGATTGGGGAAAGGCAGCCGGGGCAATGCTCCATCTGAAGGAGCACGAATGTAGACTCCCTAGTTCTGGAGGCGAGGCTAAGACTGCGCGCCTGTTTCATGTGTCAGGAGTAGAAAATTCCTTGGCACGTTGCTGCCTTAGTGCCCCTGCGTTCGCCAGATTGGTGAAGAAGGAGAAATTAGAGGAACAGGTCTTTGTTGCCTATGTTAGGCCCGTCACTGAGCCTACGGAAGAGAAGCTGATGGACCCTGCGATTGCCAAGCTGCTGGAGGAGTTTAAGGATTTGACTGAGTTGCCGACAGGCACGGTGCCGTGGCCCATCCAGCACCGTATCGAGATAGAGCCTGGCAGTAGAACTCCTAAGGGTGTTGTGTATAGGATGTCCCCGCGGGAGTTAGAGGAGCTTCGCAAGCAATTAGACGAGCTCCTCGAGAAGGGTTGGATTAGGCCCAGTTCGTCTCCTTTCGGAGCGCCTGTTCTCTTTGTTCCTAAGAAAGAGGGAGAGCTGAGAATGTGCATAGACTATAGGGGTCTGAATGCTATTACAGTAAAGAATGCCTTGCCACTACCTAGGATCGACGATCTCTTAGATCGAGTGCAGGGGGCTAAGTATTTCTCTAAGATAGACTTAAAGTCCGGATATCATCAGATAGAGGTACACCCTGATGATCAGTATAAGACAGCCTTCCGGACTAGGTACGGGCATTATGAGTTTATAGTGATTCCCTTTGGATTAACCAATGCGCCAACAACTTTTCAGCGGTGTATGAATGATTTGTTTAGGCCGTGGTTAGACAGATTCGTTGAAGTTTATCTAGATGACATCCTAGTGTTTAGCCGGACCCGCGAAGAGCATCAGGGTCATCTCAGGCAAGTCTTGGAGAAGCTGAGAGAAGCTGACTTCAACATCAATGCAAAGAAGTGTGATTGGGTGAAGACCCAAGTTTTGTATCTAGGCCACGTCTTAGACGGAGACGGCGTTAAGCCAGAAGATAGCAAGATCGCAGCGATTAGAGATTGGCCCACGCCACGTACGCTGACAGAGTTGCGCTCGTTCCTGGGCTTAGCGAATTATTACAGGAAGTTCGTAAGGAACTTCTCCACCATCGCTGCGCCCCTTCGCATATTGTTGAGAAAAGAGACAATCTGGAAGTGGGACAAGGACTGCACGTCTGCCATGAAGAAGCTAAAGTAGACGTTGATAGAGTATCCGGTCCTTAAGGTCGCCGATCCGTCCTTGCCTTTTGTCGTTACTACGGATGCTAGCCAGTACGGCAAAGGCGCAGTGTTACAACAAGACGATGGCAATGGCTATAGACCCGTAGAGTTTATGTCCGCTAGAATGCCTTCAGAGAAGGTTGCGACATCTACCTATGAGAGGGAACTCTACGCTCTCAGGCAAGCVTTAGACCACTGGAAGCACTATTTGCTTGGGAGACACTTCAAAGTCTATTCGGACCATGAAACGTTACGATGGTTAAAGACCCAGGCCAAGATGACACCTAAGCTTACTAGGTGGGCCGCCGAAATAGATCAGTACGACTTCGAGCTCAAGCCTGTCAAAGGGAAGTTCAATGTAGTCGCGGATGCTCTGAGTAGGAGAGCAGATTACTTTGGGGCAATAGTACATTACCTCGATATAGGAAAGGATCTGCAGCAGAAGGTTAGAGAAGCCTACGCGCAGGACCCTATCTATAGTGAGCTCCTCACACGAGTCAAGGAGGCCCCAGAGACCGAGCTGAACTACCGCACTACTGGAGGGTTACTCTTCGAGAAGACTAATGTCTTTGACCGGTTGTGCATCCCCAATAGCAAAGAGATCCGTAGTCTGATTCTGGGGGAATGTCACGACATAGAGGGTCATTTCGGTTGGCAAAAGACTTTGGCCAATCTAATGCGCGCGTATACTTGGCCAGGGATGAAGAATGACTGCGTAGAGTATGTTCGCAGTTGCAAAGTTTGTCAGCGTAATAAGAGTTTTACTCGCGCCTCGCTAGGTCTTCTCAGACCTTTGCCCATTCCGGATCAGTCGGGAGACTCAGTGTCAATAGATTGCATGGACACTCAAGTCAAGAGCAGGCATGGCAAGAGCCAAGTCATGGTCATAGTTGACCGCTTTAGCAAGTACGCAGTTTTTGTTCCTTTGCCTTCTGAGGCGCGTACTGATTTAGTCATACAGAGGTTCTTTGACTGCTGGGTTAGTGAGAACGGAATCCCGCTGTCTATAGTTAGCGATAAAGATAGTCGCTTTACTAGCCAGAACTGGCAAGAACTCATGGGAGTATACGGATCTAAGTTGTTGATGTCGTCCGGCCGCCATCCAGAGATTAACGGTCAGACAGAGCAAATGAACAAGATCCTACAACAAGTTTTGCGCATGTATATTAGGCCAGATCAGATTAACTGGGATGAGATGTTGCCTAAAGTAGCTAGTGCGTACAATAACAGCGCGCATCTTGCCACATGCCGCACTGCTAACGAACTGCACAAGTCCTTTAGACCGCGCAGACCGTTTGAGGGACTCAACCGGGATCAGATTCAGAGATTGCCACCCGGGACCCGGGAGTTCGCTGTACAGCACGAGAAAGAACTAGCTACTGTTGTAGAAAACCTCAGGAAAGCCCAGCATAGGATGATAGAACAAGCAAACAAACATCGTCGCCCTTCACAGTTTCAAGTAGGCGACTTAGTCTGGGTTAGTTTGAAAGAGTTTGCACCTGAGGAGAACATCTCGCAGAAGTTACTGCCCACATATAGAGGACCGTGGCCTGTTCTTGAAGTCAAGGGCGATGAAGATGGACCATCCTATACAATAGACTAATCAGCACACCTCCACACGTATCCAGTTTTCCACGCATCGAAGTTGCTACCTTGTCAAACAAGTCATTAGTTTCCATCCTGTAGATCAATGATCCCACCTGATATGAATGGAAGGTATAACATAGACGGTATAGTGGTTGAGGATGTCTTCAGAACCGGAGGTAGGGGTCGTCCGCAAAAACAGTACAAGGATCATTTTAGTTATCAAAAACCGGAAGACGACTGCTGGCTTACAAGATCTGAACTTCTAGAGACAACTCCCGATATAGTCCGGGCCTATGAAAGACAGCAGAAGGGTAAAGGTCCTGCCTTGGACTGAAATTTTCTMGGAGGACCTCGAATTWAGGCCGGCGGGAGTGAAACGGTATTCACCAGTTCGCAGTAGCAAATGCAGATCCCAGGGCTCGATCCCTAGTTCCCCATCTTACCTGTGTACA